TTGAAAGTGAGTTGTGAAATCAAGATTGTTCTTCTCGTAATGCAGCTGATTAAGATTTTTGTGACATTGACATCAGCTCAGCTACATGCACTGAAAATCAACAACTGTTTTGCCAGGCAATTCAGACACGGAGATTTCTATACAAGACAGGGAACTCAACGTAGGGGGAATAGATGAAGTTAACAAAATAAGAGAGGTGACTTTTGCTTTTATTCCTGATCTCTCTTGCAATTAGCAATGCCTGCTATACATTTGCTTTTGGACTAATTAAATCACCCATACCATAACGATCCTTCTCCTTGTGCCAAGTCTGACACAAAACCCTGGAGAAGGGCTATCTTCCTGTGTTAAAGTGAGATTAATTACTAGATTGGTCACAGAGAAGAGCAGCCTAAGTAGCTTGGGAAGCCCCCAATCCAGTGCCCCAAGGAGATGGGTCTAGGGTCTTTCCCTCTTCAAACACTTTGACATTGGAGGTTGCATGAGTGATCCAGACGGCTAGAAACATCTGGGAAGAGGAAAGGAGATGTTACTGGACCATGTGATGCCCTGCATGGCTGCTGAAGCACTGGTTCAAAGTCCTCTGTTATCTCCCATAAGGCCCCACCATGAGATCCCTGCAGATGAGGTAATATGCCACCATGTTCTCCTTCAAATACTAAAAAGGAGTTTCTTGGTACATAAGAACATCTAACCATCTTAAAGGAGCTGCTGTATGCTTTTATCATTAAAAAAAAGCTGTCCCTACCACAAAGAATGTGCAGTAATCCCAGACATGTTTGGCAAAATTATCCTCAAAGCTTTATTTTTTTCAGTAAAGACAGTTCCTAGCTTGGTACAAACCATTTCATTGACTCGCCCATGTCTTGCATATTGTGTACTATTAAATCTGAGCAGCCACTGAAGTCTGTAGAAGTCTCAGGTGTTCTAGGGGAAAAAGAAACCTGAATATACCTCTCCCTCTTCAATGAGGCCAAAACAGAATTATTTTATCATCATGTTCACAGTGTTTTAAAATAATAACATGCAGAGGCTCTGATGGATTTTAGTTCTTCACTGAAGAGAAGAAAAGGTTCCTATTTTTCTCTGTCAGAGGATATTTCTGTACTTTCCCTTTCTCCTAAGACCTTCCTACAGGTTTGAAATGACTCTCACTAGCCGTTACTGTGAGAAAGAGAAGGGGAAGCAAACAGCTGTCTACCAGAGACAGGTCAGGGTCCTCTAATCATCCATTTTATACATACAAGATTAAAGATCTGCTTTGAGGTTTGATTAAGAATGCACAGTTAAAAGATTAAATATCAGCAAGCCAAGTTAAAGAGGTTTAAGTCAAATCTCAGAACTCATCAAAGTACCAAATTTTTAAGCTGTCTTTACAACACAGGATTAGTGCAAAGCTTCCCTGAACCCTGATTTGATGTCCTTCAGTCAACAATGTTATTCCCCCTGCAGTTTTGTGCTCTCAGCATAAAACCAGCTATTGTCTTGTATATAGAACTCATCTCAGCTAGATCCTTCTTTGACTTTTTCCTTTTTTTTTTATACCCATGCCCCAGTTAATCTAGAAGCCCTACATCTTTATGTGACCCACAGTTTATACTCCAGCAGCAACGTACTGCTCTACATTATGCACTGTCACGAAATGCATTAAAGCTTAGTAAATGTGGCTGGTTTAGAAAAAAGGTCATAGTCACTTGGATAATTATAGACTATTCCTATGAGTCCAAAAAAATAAATATGTCCCACTTCTTTTGTACATTTTAGCCTATTGATTCCAAAGATTCGGGAAGAAGGAAAATTAGTAACTAGAATGAGATGAGGCTAATGTGATTGTCACAATCATGTATCTGAAAATGAGTTTTAAAAGTCAATAATTGATGTTCACATCTTTTTGGAACCATAAATCGTTTCAGCTGAAAATAATAAAAACCTGAAAAAAGGGGGGCAGAAACCTGGAGAGTGATTATATCCAGGAATGTGCTAATGTAAATAACTACTTGGGTAATAAATTTTACTAACCAACTAAATATTATTTAAAGCTCATGTGTAAAGCATTAAAATAAATCTTCCCCTGGTCTTTAGTGTAATAAATTGGGTTCTTTCCATTTTTTATTTGTACAATTTGGGATGTCTCAGATACATTAAGATTATGATTTCCAGGACTGTAGCCACAAAAGTTAACTTAATAAGGTTACTAAATGCTGTACTAATTAAAGTTTTAATTTGAAGTATTCCCCCTTGTAAGGTAGTGTGCCAAGTGATCTGTTTCAAAATTTTCATCTTAAGACTTGCAATATTTTTAAGAGCTAAGAACAACAATGCAGCTTTTTGAACTCATATTTTAACTTTCCTATATATACTGTGCGGAATATTTTAGCCAAAACATCAAAGTTTCATGCTAGATTACATCCTTTAAAAAAAAAAAAAGTAATAAAATTTACATTCCTTATTGAAACATAATATCTTCATTTGTATATTATTAAAACCCTTTTCTGACTGGTCTGTATTTTGTGATCTTGTCTGAGGCTGTTGCCTTTATTAAGGGACATTGAAAAGTGCTGCTATATGAGTTATGTGAATATACTATACTGTCGTCCGTACTTAGTATGTTTCAGAAATATTCTTCAGGATGGTGGAAGAAAAGGGATAAATTTCTGGGCTTTGAAAACAGTTACATTTTTTTCTTTGTAAGAATTTTCTACGATCTTTTTGGAAACTGCCTACTGATCTCGTTTGTTTCGAACACACTGCGTACAGCCTTCAAATGCTTTCATTAGGTAAATAAAATTCAAATTAGCTCAGTTTTCTGAAAGAACTTAATATGTGCCTTTTGTGTAAAGATGGGGGAAAATGAATGCAGAAGCACAAGGAGAGGAATCATGAAGGGGGAAAAACAGTTGTTTGCACATTTATTGGCATCCTGCTGCAAAAGACTTTAAGTTATTTTATATCTAAAATTCCATTGTTCATGGTTTCACTTGCTGGTATTCAAGTTGCAGACAGACATGGAAACAGGAGGATGTGATTTCCAGCCCACAGCAATCATAGCAGGTAAGGTATTTACAACTCCATCTCCTGAAAACAATATTGGCAAATTCACCTCAGGAGTAAGCATATAACAATTGGGCAGAGTTTGGGTAAATTTATTTATGTGTTGGTAAAGCTGGGATGCAGCTGACTCCTTCCATTTGTGTTCACATTTTTTGTCTCTGTCTACCTCCTAAATTCTCCTGTCTATCCATTTTCAGATATTGGGATCAGAACTGCATGCCTTGTTTAAGATGTGTATTTATATATTGATAAAGAATGCTTTCTGTTTTATTATCTGCTCCTGTTCTTTTCTAACCTTGTGCATATTGTTTGGCCACCACTGAGCACAGACCTATTTCCAAAAACCTGTTCAGTATCAGTCTGGATTTTTTTTTCTTAGTGATACACAGCTAGTTTAGAGCTCATTGGTGTGTATAGTTAATTAAGGCTGTTTTTCCCCATATGCATCACGGTGCTCTAACAACATTGAATTTAATCTACCTATTTCACAATCCAGCTGCTCGGTCTCCTTCTGCAACCCTTTATAGTCTATTTCATCTTTTTACTGTGCTGAATTGTTATCATCAGCAATCCTTATCATATGGTTCACTTTCTTTTCCAGATAGTTTATGAACATGTTGATCACAGAAGTGGCTCCTCTCTCATTTTTAATGGGACCCATGTGATAACTTCCTTTATGATGAAGGCTAATAATTTATTCTTGCTTTTTATTTCCTATCTCTTAACCTGATATTAATCCATAAGAGGACCTCTTTCTTACAAAGACCTTTGTTCAGGTAGTGTCACACAAGCCCGTTTTGGAAAACCAGATATGGTTCACTCACAGCCCCATGTTTGGCTACCCATTTGAGGAACTCCGACAGGTTTTTAAACTCCCCTTCTCTGGTCATATTGCCCCTTCTCATCATCTTCTAGTTCTTCCCATTGTTATAATCTCAACCAATCTGGTCTCTACAGGCAGCAGAATTACTGAACTGCAGCTCCCTACCTCTTTCCATAGCTCTTTTCAGAGATTGTCATCACTTTCTTTTTCTCTGATGCTAATGCTGTAGGAAACTCGCTACACTTAATTACTTCAAGGATTAATAGTTGAGATCCTTCAGATCTGATCAAAACCTGTCTTTTCATCATGGATTTTTACTATTTGTTTTACCTATTTATCCTACGGCTCTTCTACTGGCTCCTCTATTTAGCAAAACTTCTATGGTTAGAAGCTGAATCGGGCAACTCCACTCTTCCCTGTGGTGAAAATAGATGTAAAGACTTGGTCTAGCATTTTGCTCTGGCTTTAACTTCCTAGCTGGTTAAACTACTTCTGGCAAGATCTGGACCACACTGCTATTTGGATTAGGTTCTGCCTGTCACCAGCAATCTGTGTTCATGCTGCCATGCTGAGTGCTGAAGAAAATACCTGTGCACCTTACTCACAGAACAGCAGCTGGACTCCTAGCACATTTGTCTGCTGAAAGGAATACTGCTATCTAAAAAGGGTGTTAACAGACTGGGGTAGTTTTTTGGCCATCATTTTCTGTTTATGCTTCAGGTGATTGCTGGAAGGCGCTGAGAAAGTTTCAGGATTTATGCAATGGCATCAATGAAACCAGCATTCCCACAGTTTTACTGAGAGGCTGTAATAATATCAGAATTCACTATGGTTTCTGAAAAGGGTGTAGGACACTGGCTGTTTCTTTGCACCTTTTCTTCTTTTGTATGCATGTAAAACTCAGTGATTAGTAATGATAACAGGAAGTGGAATAATCTATGGAAAGTGATCTGGCTGTACTTCGCTATCCATCCTTTCTCAGATGAAGAATCACAATTCAGAACAAGCAAGACCTTCTGAGATGATCCTGTATTTCTGATATAAAATCTTTACAGTATAGATGAATAGAGACTGAAGAATCCTGCAGTTTCTTCAGAAAGCAGAGTCACTGGATTTATCTGCTTACCTGTATTGGTTGTCCTTGAACAATCAATGTCATTGCTGTGACTTGGCCTACCCAGTTCCAGCTCCACTCTTATGGCCCACACCACAAATGTCCTTTCAGCACCACTGTGACAAGGGCAATCAATTTATCATTTGATAATTAAAGTAAATCATTGGGGGGCCCAGAGTTATCTCTGAGCCTCTTTTGTGAGGATCAAAAGTGGGAATGGCTCTGGCATGAGCAATGGGCAAGGATGTCTTGTGGTGATGTTGCGGAGGTCCTGCAGGATCATGACTTGCAAGAGGAAGTCAGAGACTGTTCAACATGTTTTCTATGGGCCATCAAATGAAGCTGGGGGGGGCCAAGACCCAAACAAGCAAGAGGTGGGTCTTCACTTAACAGATGAGCCAGCAGTGTGCACTTGCAGCCCAGAAAGCCAACTGTATCCTGGGCTGCATCAAAAGCAGCGTGACCAGCAGGTCCAAGGAGGTGATCCTGCCCCTTTTTTCTGCTCTCATGAGACCTCACCTGGAGTATTGTGTACAGTTCTGGTGTCCTCAATATAAAAAGGACATGGAACTGTTGGAACAAGTCCAGAGGAGGGCCATGAGAATGATCAGGGGTCTGGAGCACCTCCCCTATGAAGACAGGCTAAGAAAGTTGGGGCTGTTCAGCCTGGAGAAGAGAAGGCTGCGTGGAGACCTCCTAGCAGCCTTCCAGTATCTGAAGGGGGGCTATCGGGATGCTGGGGAGGGACTCTTCATTAGGGACTGTAGTGATAGGACAAGGGGTAATGGGTTCAAACTTAAAGAGGGGAAGTTTAGATTGGATGTAAGGAGGAAATTCTTTCCTGTTAGGGTAGTGAGGCACTGGAATGGGCTGCCCAGGGAGGCTGTGAATGCTCCATCCCTGGCAGTGTTAAAAGCCAGGTTGAACAGAGCCTTGGGTGACATGGTTTAGTGTGAGGTGTCCCTGCCCATGGCAGGGGGGTTGGAACTTGATGATCTTAAGGTCCTTTCCAACCCTAGCTATTCTATGATTCTATGGCTTGGTCTTGCTGAAATTATATGTATAGGTGCTAAAATGTTACACAGGCTAAAAGAGAGCATGGACAAGTGCTTCAAGAAGTAACTCTACAGAATTCCAGTGTACAGCCCCATCTAGATTAGGAAGTTTCCTAGCTCCAAGTAGTGGGAGGATATTTATTGAAAGAGTATCAGGAGAAGAGCAACGTATGTTTGTGCACTCTTCTCCCCTGGTATCTGCTTATTGTCGCTGTTGGAGACAGCATATTATATGGACTCTTGGTCTGACCTTGTGTAGCTGCTTTTATGTTCTTACTGTTTCTGGTGTAGATATGTGTGTAGGAACTTTATCATTATATCACTTTCTCATAGGTAACAATGTTGCTTTGTTCGTTTGTTTCAAATGTTGCTAAGGTTAAGGCCAAGACATAAACCTGAGTGGAGTCTTAAGGTGGTTTTGATGCTCAGCTCTGAGGAGTAGCTGAAGACTCAGTTTCATCCTCAGTGTTCCTAAGGAGAAAAAGTGCTGCACTGGGGTCTATGGGCTTCTGTGTGTTTGAGTTTAGGAATACATTAAATTAATTATTTTTTAAAGTAGGTTCATAATTAGCATGTCTATTCAGAGATTTACTATAATTTGTATAGCTCTCCTCATTCATACATCTTGATGCTTCTGATAGTACTTGGCATGTTGTTTTGAAATCCATATGTGTGAGCATTATGTTCTACACTGGGTTGTCACAAAACTTCAACTGCAATACGGACTATGAAGACACAAAAATTACAGCTAACATTTATACAGAATAAACATGGCCAATGGATGTCAGAGTCAAATACTGTCTGCCCAGGTTCTTTTGGTTACTCCATACAAACAGAGTTTTATATTAAATCTACTTATTATCAAATTTTATTTATTACCAAATTTACTATCAAATTACTCATTATATTGTCCATGCTCTCTTTCAGCCTGTGCAACATTTTAGCACGTACACATAGCATTTAAGCAAGACCGAGACACTTGTTAAGTGAAGGCCAAGAAACACCAATGTATGGGGGTTTAGTTTAAAAACGTGATGCAGACATTTACTGAAATCACAACAGAAGAATAATATAACTGCAATATACAGTTGAATCACAATACAAACCTGATCCCCATTACCAGTCTCTGTATGCTCACTGTCAGCACACTGGGTGTCCCAGACACCAGCAAGGAATATATGGGTTGAAGCCAACTCAAATCATTGCTCTCTTAAAAATGTGCTTTGTTACTTGTTTGGGTTTAATGCTTTATGTTGGGCTGAGCCATGTATGTGCTCTGTCGCACACTGAACTGGCTGGTTGAGGAAGTCACTGCTCTTTGTTAAGGGTGCCTGTGCTGTCTCAGGGAGTCTAATGACTCACTGGTGCCGTTGTCTTATCTAAAACCAGTGTTGTCCTCCTGTATCCCTGGCATTGAGGTAAATGTAGCCTTCTTCATGGTGCATTATTCCCTCAGCTAATTGTTATATTTTGAGGTGGGTGTTTTTGTTTGTTTTGGTTTTCTTTCCCCTTATCCTCTGAGCTCTCCTCCACTGTGGGGTCAGTCACAGTGGGCCAGCTGAATGATGAAAGGAAAGACTTTTGAGTTCTTTTTTTCTAAGAGCAGCTTACAGGCATAGTTCTTATTAGTATATTTTTAGTGTTAGAAAAACATATTAGAATTAAGCTTTTTGTTATATTATTTTAATAATTGCACAATACATACAATTCAGCTGTAACATTGTGCTAGTTCTTTCAAATGCATTAGAGCCCTCAATCTTGTTGGGCACTAGAGGTCTCTTATTAACTCCTTTTCAAAAGGCTACCAGTTAATCTGTATTCTGAATACAGCACCCACCATGTTGCACTTGCTCACTACTTTGAGAGGTACATCATGTACTATGGACCACAAAATACAGGCATGAATTAAAAGTCGTAGTTATTGAATATTTTTCTTTCCTGTACAAGCAGTGGCACAGCTCCACTAGGAGGAACAAAGCATAAAAACCTTTTATTCTTCTTAGAAAAGAAACCAACAACAGGATGAAGCAGCTTTTTGATATTTATTATGTCTTTGGGAAGAGGAGTCTTCCTTAACTGTAAGCAGAGTGCTGAGCATTTGAGCCTGGATAGACACTTTTAGGTAACTGAGTACATAACTATTAATTGAAGAAGTTATACATAAAAGCATATATTTTATATATTTTGTCTTATAAATGTGACTCCATTTAGTGTTTGTTTATGAAAGATCTAGGGAGTTCAAAACATGGCAGTACAAACAAGAAATACACACTTGCAATAAATCCTTGAGCATTTTGAGGTATATACTATGAATTTTATGAGGCGCTTGACATTTTCCTTCTGCCCAGCAACAGTTTGTTACAGCCTTTACCACAGGAAGACTGTCAGTAGGAGGTTATCAGATGCTAGAAGTGCTATTGCTGGAAGATGTCATGTGCAGATACTGCTTACATTTCTTCCCTTTATCTATGTTTTCCTCCTCTGCTCACCCTAGGGGAAGATAGAAAATGGATTAAAATTGATTGAGCTAATGAGTTTTGGAAAAAGTGCTGGAATATACCTTTCCCATAAACCCGCAAATGAAATGCATGCTGGCTACAGTCTAACAGGGGATTCTGAAGGTAACAATGCTCAGATGCAATATTTTTCTTTAATTAGCACAGGAGAAATATCTTGCATCTTATCTGTGGCACCTTTCATTTTGAAATCTAAAAACCTCTTACAAATACTAACGGCTGAAGCAGCAAAGTTTAAATGGTCACTTCAGAGTGACTATTCATCTTTTCTGGAGGGAGTGTGTGAGGCACCCAAAACTGACAACCCTTGCTTCCATGCAGGGAGCATTCGGCAAAGGTAGGATTATGATCTAGGTCCCTTGTCACGCAGAGCTACCATCTCCGGTTCCCAGCTAATATTTTTCATCTTTAAAGCTTGGACTGATTCACTGCGCATCTGTGCTGAAAACCTCTCTGAGTCTGGTGCCCAGCACTATCCCACCCCAAATCAAGAGTGCTACCTTCATCCTTGCAGAAGATTCCAAGACCCAACTGAGCAAAAGCCCTAAGCAGCCTCGTGTGATCCAGAACTGGCTTTGCTTTGGTTGGGAAGTAGGACCTCCCAGATTTTTCCTGCCCTCCAAATCACCTGTGATGCTCCAAGAGCTTTGCCGAGCTCCAGGGCTGGCAATGGAGGCTATCACTCTGCCTGCCAGCTGTGGGTGCAGGGCAGCCTGGGTGCCATGGGCACAAGATGTCAGTCTCTGCTTTCCCTTCTGCTGCTCTCCTCTCTGCCTGATTTGGAAGCAAAGTAAAAAAAAAACCCCACCAGATGAGGTGACTGCTAAGGCTTCTTGTCTCAGGTACAGTTGTCCTGCAATGGATAGGCGTAGTCCAGTGCAGGGCAACCTGAACTGATATTTCAGCACTGGGCTACATTTACCATCTGTTCCTATTTATTGGTGTGTAAAAGGCTGATAGATTATACTTGCTTACTTTAGGAATGAGTTATTATGAAATTGCTATATCATGTATCTTTAATGTGTTATTTAAAAAGAGCAGAGATGAGCTCAGAATAAATGCAGACTAGGAATGTTTTTTCCATCCCAGAAATATCTGTGTTTCTGGATGCTTTTATGCTCCTGTATCAGACCTGGATGAAGCTAAAAAAGGAAAGCTACCTGACTCAGCATTCCCCAAGCCTGGGGCTTGGATCTCTCATGGTTCCATCTCAAATCCTGCTGGGAAGGGATCCCTATAGGAAGGTCAGTGCCAAAGGGTGAATCCATTAGACTACAGGTTTATGCCACCCATATACCCTATCAGTGCAGGGGCTCCAGACCATGACTCATCCACAGATAGATGCTGAGCCCCCCAGAAAAGAGACCTTGCTGTCTGCACACCAGGAGAGCTGGAAGCTGTGCAGGAGTCCCAGGCAGCAGCCCCCAGTCAGTGCCCGGAAATGGGTTTGAATGTGAATTTAAGTTGCACATTCCTGGGAGATGCTGAACACTGCATCTCCCTTTTCAGGTAGAAATGGCACACTGGACAGTGTTTGGAAGAGACAGAAATGGGAGGAATTCAGTGGAAAGGCCATTAGATACATCCATTTTACCTTCTCTTAAAATTACAGATGCTACAAATCTCTGTCTGGTACCACTGATTACTGACCAATTAGCTGAGGCTGTACCCTGGGATGCTGACCTTATCTGCTATTTACTTGCAGTACTTAGAACACTAACTTCAGAGGCTTGTATTTTTGGCTGGCTGAATTCGTAGTCACATTACAACTCTCTTCATGTTTTTACAGTTAACCTAAATGACGATTATTTCCTCCTCCTCTTCCCTCCCCCACCCGACTGTTGTTGTTAATTAACGATAATGTGCTGCTCTTCAGTGGGTGTTTGTTTGTAGCTACATAAATGTCAGTAACATGCTGTAGTGGCAAGTCCTTTAGCTGGGATTAGTCAGGTTCTTCTTACTACTGCTACATTTGTAAATAAGAAAAGCTGCCTTAAAAACTTATTTGTTAACGTGAAATTTGTTAGTTTCTTAAATTTTTAATTATTATTTTAAGAGAAATATGCAGTTCAAATTGGAAGTGAAAATTTAATCCCAAACCGAAACCAGACATGATGGGAAAAGAAGATGATATGAATTTCTCATGATATTTTATCAAGAGGTTTAGTTCCCTAAAAATTCAGATCACACCTGCATTTTTCAACTTTTTGTTTTCTGTCTTTTCCTTTCTTCTTAAGCTTCTGAGAAAACATACGCAAAGTAGGTTCATGACCAGCAAAATACAAGGAACACAGATGCAGAGTTATCACTTTGATTTCCAATGCCTGTGTTCAGTTCCTTCAAGGTATGTGTAATATCCTGAATAACAAAGACTTAACTTGACAAAAGTGCCACTGGAGTGCATTTAAAGCTGGTCTCTAAATGTTTTGCAATAATTTGTCCAAAATCATCTTGATTTTAATACAATTCCTTGTAAGAAATACCTGATTTTGATTTGCATGTATGGAATGGATAGTTAATATATAGTTGGGGTACAAGATAGCCTAATATCTGCCCTTTCTTGGTCAGGAGAAGTACAATGAACAGGTTTGCAGTTTCCTCCCCTCCCTAAATTGTACAGAGCTGGGACATAAATCCTAGGGGTACAGCTCAGTTCAGTGCTTAGAATAAAGATACTCCTGCTTAAAGGGGGGAAAAAAGCATAGAAAGAAATAAGGAAAGGAAAAGGAAAAAAGAATAAAAAAAGAGTGAGAGTCAGTGAGGAAACTTGAAAATCTCAGCAAAGATGGAATAGGATTATAACGGTCTAGGACACTGCACTATGTTTTCCCCAACAGTAAATCAATAGACTTTCCTTTTCAGGCTGCCTAAACTGCTGCTGGCAGTCTTGTCAGATCACACATGCTTAATCCTGCCTCCTGTGGGCTCCTACAACTGCTTATGGTCAGGCTGAGAGTACAGTCCTAGCCTGAAAACACCTCCAGACACAGTGTATTTGAAAGTGTAAATCCAAAGCTACATCAACTTATGCACAATAACGGCAGCACATTTCTGCCCTGCCAGACAGTTAGGATGCTGGTGTGAGCACCAGCGGATGGGAGCTGGCTCTGACAAGGACATGGCTCTGCAGAGGTGCTGGCTGGGAGGTCAATGCCCAAGCCTGGCAGTGGAACTGCCCTCCACCTCGGGTGTGCTTCCCAGAGCATTGCCGGGACAGGGACGGAGTTGGAAACATCTCAGATCCTGTGATGTATCGCTGGGGTTAGTACTTAGGACAAGTCAAGGATGAGCCATCTCCAAGTATAGGACTTCAACATGTTACATTTTGCTAACTTCTTAAAGCCCTGGATTTTCAAGGGTGGGTTTGTTCCTCTTAGGAATGAAGGCAATAGCTGTGTCTCCTTATAAGCTTGCAGTCTGTTTCAGTGTTGGGTTTTTTTTCTATTTGACTTGACTTGGCAGGGCTGAAGAACTGAGGCATATGGGCACCAATATAAACTTGTCTGAATAAGACATTCCTAATTGTGCTGTAATGCTTATCAAGACATCCTATGTCATGAAAGGGCATTTCTACCTTGCTGAATGGGCACATTGCAGCAAC